GAGCTGCCAGGGAGGGGGAACCACAGCGGGCTTGTTATCCTACTGTGTCACCTGCACAGGGCCTTTGCCTTATGTGTGTTTAAGGACCCCCCCCCCCTCCCCTGGCTCTGCTGATGAGGTGATCCTGTTATGGCTAATTTGTCTCAGCAGTGTATGAGGTTGTTTGTTCACATCAAATCCTGGGGAGTTTTGCTCGGTGTGCTGGTCATCATTAAATACTCCCCCACCTTTCGGGATCTGTCCCTCAATGCCGCGAGCTCTCAAGGATTAATTTCCCGCCTTTTTTCGTTTAGGTTTTTAACTGGCCTGAAGCAGAAAGCCCCGCCACCGACTTCCTTTTGAACTGGGGATGTCTAGGGGCTATAGCCTAGGGCCCCAGCAAATATCAGGGGCCCTGCCTGGCAAAATCAGGGCCCCCACCTTGGGAAAGAAGGAACGGATACTTAAATGAGCAAAACCTGAGTGTCCATGCTGATGTGAGCCTAGGGCCCCCAGATGAAAGTGAATGTGCCCCTAGGGACAGGGGTAAAAAACCGTGTCACCCCTCAACGTGTGTTCTTTTACACGGATGCACTCGTGAACAGGTCTAACCCAGTGTGAGGCAGGGGTCTGCACAGAGAATCCCCCTATGTGTCCAAACACAAGGCCTTTTTGGGGATGATTCGGTACCAGAACAGGCGAAATGAACGTTCCTCATCTCTCGCAAAAGACGCCATTACTTGGGACGCTGTGTTGTTGCCGTTGGGTATAATGTCTCTGCTTTACAACAATGGAAACGTGCTTTATGTTTACTGTGGCTAAATTTCCAAAGGGAGGGCTTTTTGGGTCATGGCCAACATTTGTTGTTCCATAAACAAGCCTGTTAAAAGTGAGATCTTTTAATAAGGGCCCTGGATATATGTGTGTGTGTGTGTATACACACGCACACTATGGTTTACAGCTGTTGTCTTTGATCTTAATTTACAATAATGAATACAATTAGGTAACTATTTCGTTATGTTGCAAGCTTGCTTTTAGTGTGCCGTCTTGAGTAGCAGAGAGGTGATTTCTGGTTCATGTTCACAGAATTAATTAGCATGTTATTATATAGGATGTGAGGCAGGGAGTGACCTTGAATCTGTCCTTTAGGTTGTTAATCTTTCTTCCAGTGAAATAAGTATTTACACTTCTTCTCTAAGAGACATACAGGTCTGGAGGTTAACGCAGTTCTTCAGAAAAAGCCAAGATATATATATTTTGCAGCAAATGACTCAAATTAAAAACTCTGTAATGAGGCTGTCCTTTAAATCCCGGGTACTTTGCCTTGTTTCCTGCCTGCTTTTAAATCCTGTCATTATGCTGCGTTAGGTAAAAGCAGCTCTCCCAGACAGCACAGTAATCTGCGTTTTTTTTTCCCTCTTTATTGGTTGTTCCCTGGTGTACGGAAATCAAGGCTGAGTGCAAATTTCCTGACAGCGTGTCGCTGGCTTTCTCGCCTCAGATGTATCCCGAAACGGAGGGTGTGCCTCTCCAACACCACCGAGTACCCCTGCAGGCAGTACGAGTGTGTCAGCAGCTCGCTCAGCTGCGATAAGACCGAGCTGGACCCCGCGTGCGATGCCGCCAATGTGGAGCACTCTAACCTCTGCCTTCTCTACCAAAGAGGGAAGACCCCAGCCTACATGGGCCACTGCCAGGTACGCCCACAACCAATGGTGACTCTACATGTCAGGTGACCAGCTAGAAGTTTCAGTGCCTGCTGTCGTGGGTGGGATACCCTCATGGCAGGAGTGTGTCTTCTGTGGCTTAAGTGATAGCTGGCCAGTTTGGGACCAGTCTTGGACCTTCAGTGTTCAGTGTGATGTTTAGTGAATCCGGGGACCACTGCTCCTCATGGGCTTCAAGCTTCATTGACCACTGTTCCTCATGGGCTTTAATGACTGCTGTTTCTCATGGGCTTCAAGCTTCAATGACCACTGTTCCTCATGGGCTTCAAGTTTCAATGACCACTGTTTCTCATGAGCTTCAATGATCGCTTTTCCTCATGAGCTTCAAGCTTCAAGGATCGCTGTTCCTCGTGGGCTTCAGTGACAACTGTTCCTCATGAACTTCACTGACTGCTGTTTCTCATGAGCTTCAAAGACCACTGTTCCTAATGGGCTTCGCTGACCGCTATTCTTCATGAGTTGCAAGCTTCAATGATCATTGTTCTTTATGGGCTTCAAGACTTGGTGACTGCTGTTTCTCACGAACTTCACTGATTGCTGTTCCTCATGAGCTTCACTGACTGCTGTTCCTCATGTGCTTCAATGGCTGCTCTTCCTCGTGTGCTTTACTATCTGCTGTTCTTTTTGCTTCACAGACTGCTGTTCCCTCTGGGCTTCAGTGACAGCTAGCCTACTTTAGACAAAGCTGAAGTTACATCTTCAAGTTTCATGCTCCATTGACTTTTTTCTTTCATATCCACATTTCAGAAGCCACTCTGATTCCTGATATGTTTGTTGTGAGGTGCAGAAATCGATTAGGCTGCTTTTGCATGCAGTGGCATGAGCTCTGTGGAATGCCTTCGGCACAGGTGCGTTACTTTCACTGTTTAGCTTGTAGCTTTGATTAAAAAAAAAAATAACAACCTCCTGGATTTACGTGATCTCACCGGTGAAAGGAGAATACTAGACTTTCTTGTGGGTAATGAGTGACAAGAGAGGTAAGAGCCATGAGAAGTGAGGAGAGACAAATGGTATCCTCCATGGAGGAATCAGCAAAAGCACCACGTCCTGACTTAGGTTTAGTCTCCCTTAGACAGACCAGTCAGCCGCACAGGGCTGAACCCCCTTTTCCTAATCAAGGTAACAAGACTTTGAGGTAACATCAGCACAAAACACCTGCTCCCTCCAGTTTCAAGTCTGTGTGTGTATAATCGCATCTCAGCCACGCTTTTTAAAATGAACATAAGCATCCGTCATTCCCTGCAAGGCCACTTGCTCGCCTTTGGGGTTAAACAGACGCATGCCTCTGTGACGCTGCTGGTCGAGTTACAGTGTCTGATTGAAACACAAGATGAAATGCCTGACCTCCACATTCTCCTCCTTTGCTAGATGTTATGTCTTATTTAATGACAGCGGCTAATATGCTGATCCGTTAGGTGCATCTTCACCCTGCTACCTGCTTGCTCTTTTTTTATCATCCTCTCCTGTCTGTCTTCTTGGCTAAGTGACTCCAGGATCAACAGATTTGTTATCATTTGGGGTAGCTGTTGTTTGGGGTAGATGTCATTTGGAATAGCTATTGTTTGGAGTAGTTATTGTTTAGCATAGCTTTCAATTGGAGTTGCTGTCATTTGGGGTACCTATTGTTTGAGGTAGCTGTCATTTGGGTTAGCTATTGTTTGGAGTACCTATCATTTGGAATGGCTTTTATTTTGGGTGGCCATCATTTGGGATACCCTTCATTTAACATAGGTATCTTTTGGGGCATCGTTTAGAGGAGCTGTTGTTTTTGCTAGCTATTCTTTGAAGTACCGATTGTTTGGAATACCTATCAGTAGGGGTATCTTTCATTTGGAATAGCTATTGTTTGGAGTAGTTATTGTTTAGGGTAGCTTTCAATTGGAGTTGCTATTGTTTGAGGTAACTATTGTTTGAGGTAGCTGTCATTTGGGATAGATGTTGTTTGGAATAGCTCTCATTCTGGGTGGCCATCATTTTGGATACCCTTCATTTTTAGGTAGGTATCATTTGGAGTAGCTGTTGTTTTAAGTAGCTGTTGTTTGGGGTGGCTATTGTTTGGAGTCGTTATCATTTAGAGAAGCTATAGTTTGGGGTAGATAAAGTTTCATTCCACTTAGCTGTTGTTGCTACGCTCTGCTTGTTCTGAGAAACACTTAAATTGGAAATGTCTGATTTCAGAACACCTCTGAAGGCAGACCACTCATTAAACACTGTTTTTGCTTTCATGTTACCGAATGAGCAGGAATTCTGCGGAGATGTTTGTGCCAAATTAGAGCCAAATTAGGAAGAGGAAGCTGACTCTGCTCCCTTTTCAAAATGGTCCTCAGAAAGCCCCCCCCCCCTTGAAAAAGGGCCGCAGGAGGAGCAGGGAGGATGTAGAGGGGTGTGGCTAACCGCAGGGTGGCACCTGTGTGCCCCACAGGATGCCTGCAGGCTCTCGCACCCCGTTTGCGGGCACAACGGCGAAACCTACACCACGGTGTGCGAGGCCTACTCGGACCGCGTCGCTGTTGACTACCATGGGCGCTGCCATGCCGTGGGCACGGTATCTGAGTTCTCCTCCGACACTGTCTGCGGCGCCGTGCGCTGTCCCCCCCTCTCCACCATGGACTGCAATCCTGTCACTCCCCCCGGTAAGTATACCCCATCTCCCTTGTGTCATTAAGAATGCAGAGATGGTCACCTACAAATCATTTAACACATACCAATAGAACTTTATTAATAAAAACCTGAATTATATCCATGTTTCTTAAAACAAAATGGTATACCAGTACCACAAACAGACTAGTGGACATGACTATACACCCTCCCCTTTGTTCTGATGATTCTGTGGTCCATGCCCCGCCCCCTTCACCAGCCACTCACATTCTCTCTGTCCACCCGTGAACAAATAATAATTTATTTTCAAAATGTCAGAGGCCCATATTAAACAAAAGGCCAGTATTTGCACATTAAATGCTGGTTTAATTGATCTGGAACCAACTGGGGGTCATTTCCAAAGGCCTTGTGTTTGGGTAAATTTTACATAACATACTAGGGTTTTGTGGGATTACTTTACACTTAATCATAAGGGCAGATAAATCCAAAAGATTAGTCCCTTGGTTGTTAAATGACCGGCGTGTTTCAGTGATTTTCTGCTTTTATGGTGAGAGTTGTTCCTTGCAGTTTCCCCATCACAAGTCCTCTTAACGTTATGAAGATGTCCTCTAGAGGTGTTTCGGTTCCAGTCTGGTTCCTGAGTTCTCATGGGTGGGGAAGGAATAGCTAGCAAGCTCAGAAGGCATGATAAGCGGGCGTGATGCTCGGGAGAATGTGCCGCATTCGGATCCCTGACCTGGTGGGCTGGGACCTTCAGGTCCGGCTGAGGATTCTTGGTCTCTGTTCTGGGAGGCAACGGGCATAATGCCTTGTTTTCACAGGGGCCTGCTGCCCACTTTGTGCCGGAATGCTGCGGATCGTGGTCAACGCCGGCCAGATGGACGTCTTCGCGAAGGTGAGGGAACCTGCTACGCTGGATTCTCAATGCCGGGGCTTCATAGAATTACCTGAACACGCCGTAATTGTTTAAATGACGTGCAAACAGTGCGCACATGACTGGGCAGGAGTATGGGATGTTAGATAACGTTATAACCATGGATGCCCCCCCCCGTAGAGAAAATTCTTTGGAAACATACCACGCGCCCCCAAACCATCTGCCTTAATTGTTCTGTTTAATTCCAAATACAGAAAGGCAAGTCTGCCTGCTATATCGGGCTGATTCTGATCCTAAACACAATGTATTCTGCGTAATGTGATCATAAAAAAAAAGATTTGACCCCCCTCCTCCGCTCTACTCAGGTACTGGTAACAAATTAAGAAAATCCATTAATGCATATCCCGGAGTATTAAAGAAGAAGCCTGGGGTTTTTGGTTCTCCTACACGTGATAATGTTCCGCTACTGTCTTTGGGTGAATCTCAATTTGTGTACTTGACCGTACTTGTGTTCTTCTGTACGTCATCTTCCATTGCCGAAGACCAGTTCCAATACTCAAGAACAGTACTACAGAGGACAATGAAAATACCCGGCCCAAATATCAAGGATACGTCAGTTCCATCGTCCCTAAAACAAAAACTATCCCTTGATTTAGTGCAGCCCGAGCTTGTTCTTGGAAAGCAAGGTGGCAAGACCGGTCTTACCAAGACCACAAGTATGATCTTTGTGTTCTCGGTATTGAGATTCACCCGTTTAATTCTGTGACGCATAGCAGCGTTTACTGCTACAGTTTGTACTGTCAGTCAGATTCAAATCTGTTGGTAAAAAAGTGCCCACAAGAGGGCAGTGTGGTGCTTCCACTCTTGACACAATACAGCCCCGGGGGACGCACAGGTGCACAAGATTGATTATCCACTTGAAGAGTATTTGAGCAAAACTTAATCGTATTTGCCTGTTTTTGTGGTGGGATGAGTGCCTGATTGATTCACCCACCCACGGTACAGTAAAATAAGTAAATGAGAGAATTCCGAGGACGTTTTCAACCTGAGGTAATCCTTCGTGAAACACACCCTCAGCTATCCCTGAAGTTTGTATAAACCAGGGGTGGCCAATCTTATCCGCAAAGGGCCAGTGTGTGTGTGCAGGTTTTTGGGATAACCTGTAGGTCAGCTGTTCAAACCCAGGTGTGAGGACTCTTCAGCCAATCAGTCCTCTAATTAGTAATCCAATTAGGGAGTTGCAGCGAAAACCCGCATACAGACTGGCCCTCTGCGGATAAGATTGGCCACCCATGTTATAAACAGTCAACAAATATTTCTGCTAAATTATTGCAACCTTCCAGAATGTTCCCTGTTTAAATAACCATGCCACGGCGCAGTTGTTGACGTGACTGCGGCCTCCTGCGTTGCAGCTGAACGACAACCAGCCGGTCACCGTCCACGACATCCTGCGTATCCTGAGGCTTCACGTCTCGGTCCCGCAGTGCGACGTCTTTGGCTACCTGAGCATCGACTCAGAGATCGTGATCCTCATAGTGCCCGTGGACCAGCAGCCTACTGCCCTGCAGGTAGGGGGCGCCGTTTGCTGTGCTGTCTGTATGATGCCATTACCATACACTGGTGTGCGGGTTGTACCTTTCTTATAAGCCCAGGGGGGGTTGGGCAGCCAGTTTTTATAATTACATTTAATTATTTAGCAGATACTTTTATCCAAAGCTAAGTATAATTCAGAAAGCAGGGTCAGACAGTCCCTGGAGCAGCCATGGGACTCAAACCACCAACCTTCTGATCACATATACAGCATCCTAACCCGCTGAACCCCTCACCACCTTCCTTGCTAGTTTTTGGTTCCTCTCCTCTATTGCCTTCTGACTTTTTCTTTCCATCTTCCCTTTTTTCCTGTTCCATGTACCTTTCTGTACAGATAATGTTATAATGGATTTCCACACTTGGGTCTAAACCCAAAACCCAGCCACTTAATCCAGCCCTTACAGCACCGGCCCCCCTCAGCTACTTTATTGAGTGCAAACATCGTCCTGATGGATAACTGACAATTCTTTACTACTGCTTACGTTACATTATGTAACCATCACATTACTGCACCACCCATAGTAGTGCTGGTGCATCATGGGAATGTCACTCCTGTATCTGACCTTAGGATATACCTTTCTGTCTGAGAGGTCATTCTACACTACGCCCGTAAACACATCTATTACAATTGGCTGCAGGAGAATCATGTTTCCGTGGTGATCCGCTCATTGTACCATAAACATAAACATCTCACCCCCAGCCAGAGAATTAGAGGAGAAATTGTCCCTCTGTTTATGAAATCTTCCGTCGCACCACTGTCCAGGGGGTGGGTTTATATGAAAGGTTCTGAACGGGCCCAGTTTGTCAGCAGGCCGCTCACATACGAGCGGCACATACTGCTCCAGTAATCAGAACAAAGACTGAGTCAAACCACCGATAGGCATGGCAGCCCCGGTCAACGGGTTAGACTGCTTCAGTGCCGAACATGAGATGGTCTGGAGATGCCTGGAATATGAATGGCTGCCAGTTCAATTAGAAAGGCTGACAGTCATTAAGGAACATTAAAGGGAAGGTCTTCGGATGCTGGATTTCAAACACACTAAAAAGACGGCTATCATTTCAACCCACAGTTTAGTTCTAACGACATACTAATTTCATGTTTGTATGTGGTTGTCCTGTGTGTAGTTGGGGTGGGTGGGCAGTTCACTTTGTAGCCTCAGATCTCAGGTGTCACGGGCTTGACTCCTACTGTGGGTTTTGTGTAAAGTACCTGGGTACCTGGGTCATTTTCCTCAATAAATTGTTTTTTTTTCCCCTCCATAATTTTCTCACCAGACCAAATCCAAGTGCTGGAAAAACTGAACATGACTTTATAACATCAGCCAGAAACAAGGAACTGATAGAGGGAATTAACACCCCTGGTCACATGACTCCCTAGATAGCCACGCCCCCTTACAGTCATATTACCTTCTCTTGTGTCAATCTAAGATGTTGTTCTCTTCAAGTCTTCACCTGCTTTTGGGGTGGCTTATTTTAGAAGGGCTTAATAAATAGAATTGCAAGAAATGTTTAAATGAAGTGCTACTTCTGTGACTGTAACAGTATTGTGTGATTCATTAAGAGGTGATTTCATCCTCTTCCTTCTAAATGGCCACTTGGGTTCTTTATCTGTAGCTGGTTTTTTCTCCATTGAGAATAATTTAGATTTAGTTTCCTCGCACAGCTAAACTCTAACAGTTCAGACCAGTCAGTTTTCTGCGTGGCCTACAGGTGGCGCTGTGCTCTGCCAGGCATGTACCTGAGATGATAGTTCTGTCTCTCCTCTCCACCCCCCCCCCCTCCAGATCGAAGCCTGCAGTAAGGAGGCTGAGAAGATCGACTCCCTGATCAACTACGGCAGCCCCTCCCTCATGTCCCACGTACCCCTCTCTGCATTCCTGACCTCGGAGGTGAAGGTCTCCACCATCAACTCGTCAGGTCTTCCTGCAGCCAGGTCCCAGGCCAGCTGCCTGGTCTTCAGCCTTCTCCTGATGGTGATCGTGGGCCTTGGAGGCACCTAGCTATCAGCTCTCTACTGCCTCCTGCAGTTGGATGTTGAATATGAACCCTGGACATGCTTTCAATCCAGACACAAAGCTCTTCCTTCCCATGACAATCAGCATCACTCCTAAACTGACTAATCAATTTATGTATAAGGAGCAGCTTGTGCCAGCAGCATCCAAAGGGGTCCAACAGAAAAGGAAATTACTGAATCCCAGTCCTTGTTTTTAAATAACATTGTAGCACTTTGTCGACAAGAGAGGGACCAAGCAGCACGACCTCTATGGGGAGGTGACGTTTGGGTGATAGACTTACACTATAACACAGGTACAGCATTCATTCAGGTTTTACATAAAGGTTAGGAACGCTGAACTGGAACGAGGGCGGGCAGAAACGTGAAGCGCAATATTCTAGAAGGAAAAAAATGAATCTGTGCTAATCTTTATATGCCATACCAATGAATTTTTATCTCGGAATGAAGAACTATAGTCATGTTCATAGAAGTGAAAAACAGCATTTATCGAATAGACCCAAAGTATATGCTGAATATCTATATAACTTAATGCAATATTTTTATAATGTTGTCGAGAATCTGAATGGTTATATTTTGAAAAGTGGCTCAAGACTGACGTTTTTGTATCAATGTAACTGTCATTATTCTTGCATGCTGATGTGCGTATCGTGTCGTTCCTTTCAGTCTGTTCTGCCCAAGGTGGCTCCCCCTTGTCTCATTGTTACCGTTACCTTTGTCGTGTTTTATGTTGTGTTTGTTTTTTTTTTAACTGTCTATTTCCTGTTTTCCGAAATTAAATGCGATCGTGCGGATAATATAGAAACCTGAGCACTTAAGCCCAACTGTGTCTGCGTGTCGCGTTACTACATATAACCGCACGGTCTGCCCTACTGTCAAAAATCCATCGAGGTATTTCAAGTACGATATCCGACGTACGTCGAAATCACAGCACTTGCCGTGTGCAGTCGGATTGTCTTGTAGAGGGAGTCTCCTGTGTCACGCCAAATTTTCAGGTGATCTCATTTTACTCTCCATTCACACATTTTCTCCAAGGAAGAAGACGTATCAAATTAATGGGGAAAAAAGCACGGGCCTCACATGAATAAAAAGATATTAAGAACTTTTATTGTTGACTGAAAACATCATAGGACAGTGGATGAAATGTGACCATTTTAGCAAATAACTATACAATATTTTTTTAAGTATGCAATAAGTTTGATTTGAGACATTCTTTTTGCAATTACATATTATGACCACAAGGGGGTAATAAAACAGTATTTTTGTGCACGGTCTCACCAGTCTGCTACGGTGACCTGCAACAGAGACCTACTTCTCAAATAGTCGTATCAGGTGTCTGATTAAACCTCTGCTGGTTCCTTTTGATCCACTTTTGATTTACATGCTCAGATGCGCAAATACTTTCTTCTTGTATTCCATGATCAAATGAAAAGCTGTACGCCTTTCTCATGGCTCGCTGACGGGGAACAGGAGAGGTGAATGTGTGGATGCAGGAGTCATTTGTGGCTGAGCTCTTAATCAGCTGCTGTTGACCTTCTGCCCATGTCCGATACCCTCCTGCAGGGATATGAGGGCCTGCTGTGATATGAGGGCCTGCTGTGATATGAGGGCCTGCTGTGATATGCTCCCTAGAAAGAGAACCTGTCTATTGAAGGATGATGCCTATAATTGCACAGTGGTGGCAAAATCACAGGTGGGGGATTGAGTATAATGGCCTGTCTACATTTTTGGGTAACTGGAAATCCTAGGAGTACAGATTTAGGGAGTCATGCTCTGTTAATCCTTCAGAGTGAAGCCCTAGTTGTCCAGAAAACATGGTCAACCTTGACTGCTGTATTTCACGTTCCAGAGTCACAGAGCCTTTAAGCTGCTGGGGATCGTTAGCAGGCGGCCGTGATTCTTACTTGTGGCTCATTTACGTGTCTAGGGAAGAGCCGGCAGAAGCAGCCCGACGATGAGCTCACCCTGGTGTTTTTGCCCCCGATCTGCCCCATAGAGGCCACCCCTGCCCCAGAATGATGGCCAGAAACCAACAAGGAATCTACACATTAGCGTAATGGACGTGGCATGTATCAAATGCAATCATAGGTGCCGGAAGCCGACGCAGGGAGAGTAATCTGAATTAATTGCTGCGAGAATCCAGCACTCTACGATTCTTTTAAGGTCAAGGGATTCATGTACTCAGCTTTTTACAGTGTTTGTGAAATTAGAGCCATGGTCTCAATTAACCTTTAAAGGCTGGAATCATCTGTTGTCCTGACTCTGATTCTAACGCCACCGACAAATATAAATCAGCGTTCATGACGTCAAAGCTACCTGTCTGATAGCAAACGCACCTAGTCCTGCGGCCACTTCCACAGGCCTTGTCCCGGTCAGGAGGACAAAGCTTCCAACATGGGGCCCATCTGCAGCCTTCATGTCCGCTATGATTAGTGAGCAATGGCCCCCCCGGCGCTCGCACCTGTCAGCTGCCCCCACGTCGCCCTCGGCCCGCCCGCTCCTGCTTAAATTCGCCTTCGCCTCCGCCTCTGGTGTCTCTCTCACCTTCCATGGGCTGCGCCAGGCCCCGTTCTCATTCAGCAACCTCCTTCCTCTCTTTCTGCCATAAACTCGACCCCAGACCAGGCCTTTTGGTCCAGATATTTGCCTCTCACACCTCCCTTTAGTTCTCCTAACGGTTCTATCTAACCGTTCATTTGCCCGGTTCCATTCAATCACCCACATTTACCCACTAAATCTGCTTTCTGTTCCTGGATACAGAGCAAACAAGACTAATTCTCGTCTCTATGACAAAAAGCATTCCTGACCCTTCTGCTCATTCAGTGCCATGTGACGACGATGCATGGCTTTAGACTGTCGTCTTTTCCTCTTAGATAACAAGGCTCCTTCTTTCACACAAACTGAAGAATGCAAGGCAGACACGGGAGAATGCATCCTTTTCCCTCTGAACTGAAGTAAGCTATGTCCGGCGAATGAAAACTAAACGTACTCAGCTAACAAAGAACATATTTTCTGCATGCCTGAATCACTCGCTCGCTTTATGCGTGACCTGAAACTCATCTAACTTTGCACACGAGTATCGTGAATGCAGCTGAAAGGTCATCTCTGTAAAGAGCTAGGTTTCTCACCTAAGACACAGTACAACCTCCTTCAAACAGTATGCAAGGCCATGATGGTATCTCAACAGGAAAGAAGCCATATGTCTAAAATTATAGACTATTTTATATTGGATGTTTCCGCAAATGTTAGGTTGTCATAATAAAGCATAATAAAGGACCTTTCGTGGAAAGAGAAGCTGTAATGATTTATGCAGAAAGGACTTGCTTTTTATTGTACTGTAATTTTATAAATGGCAGGACCTATGCATTTCTAGACTTTATAGTATTTCTATGTCTAATTGGCAAATCATCTGTTGTTGTTTCATAACTATGGGAGGGGGGGGGGGGGCAACCCGGGAGCTTCCCAAGTCCATAATCATTAGTTTCTTTATTTGTTTCCTTTCCTTTTTGTTTATGAAGTATATAAATACCCAGAGACCTGTCAGATAACATTATATAAAGTCAGCATGGCAGCACCGTGAGTGAATGAAATTACTTGTATAGAAAGTAAATAGGTCATGCTTTTGGGCACATGATATTTTGTGAAAGAGCACACTGTCATCGTTGCTAAGATGCTGTCTGAAAACACCCTTGTGTCAAGTTAATCGTAACACAAAATGTAAGGATAAATGTTTACATCATTTTGAAAACTCATAAATATCATTTGCATCATTTTGAAAACTCATAAATATCAAATATATCCAATGGTTAAAGCTTTGAAGGCTATTGTCATAGTGTGGATGTATCTATGATAACGTAATCAGGACTACAATGGCACACGCGTGGCACTTTCTGGTTTATGGCTTTTAACATAATTAACCCAAACCTGTCGTCTCCCTGCACCCCTCCGAGAATCTTTCCCAGAGACAGGGGTGGGGTGGTGGGGGTCACTGCTGTTGGCTGGGTTCCAGATGGCTGGCCTGGGGAGGAGTGGGGATTTCGACAAAGTCACACCAACCAGAAATAGGGTGGGAGATAATTTACCCACTCATCCGTGATCTGTTTTAGGGAAGCCTATTCCAGCATTGGCCAATTTTTCAGCAAAATCAGGGAGTAGAATATTATGTGGCATTAAAGCTATATATTTCGATATGTGGCGTTCTGCTGTGATTCGGCCTTTGGGTATAATTTACCCTCGTGTACATAACTACCGCTAAAGCCTATGGGCCTGGGAAGGTGGTCAGACAATGGCTCAGTCACTGGTCCCTGTCACTGCCTGTAGACTTTGGGGGGAGGGGTGTGAACGGGTCAGAGGTTTTCGGTCTTGGTGGATCTGGAAATAAGTAGCAGAAAAGTCGAATAGGATAAAACAGGACAGTTATCTGCCGGCATTATCTCTATCTACACCGTGTTTTACAATGATGTGCAGTTCCACAGTCACTTGCGATATTTTTTAGTCATTGCAACAGAGATTTTGAAATGCTGCCTGTCGATTGTTTTATTTTACTAGCAATACAGCTAATTTTTACCCATGCGGTTGTCCGTTGCATGAAAAGCACTCCAAACCCCCAGCGGTCTCGATTTCCCGATTGCAGTTTTTTGATTCAGCTTTTGTAGTTTTTTGTATGGTTAAATGCCAAGCTGATTTCTTTCGGAAAGCGATAAAATGTTCTTGACGAAAGTTCTCTCTAATATGGTAAATTTGTAGAGTATTTCAAAAGTATAAACCAACAACAATTTTTTAAAAAGCTTAAATTTGACGCCGGAGGCCGTCATCGGCAAATCTCTGATCTCAGGCATGAGGATAATGGTCGTGAAAAGTACCCATGACGGAAAGACATTAGGTTGGTCATGGATGATATCAAATGTACCTATGGCTTTTTAAAATAAAAAGAATATATTCTCACCGCAAATGGCTTTATATAGCCTACCAAATTATACGATTTTGCTGCTGTTTGATACACGTCTCCTGAAATATCATATTTTGTCCTAACACCTCACAACTGCATAGGCTACATTATATTAGGCTATACATTATTTTTAAATTAAAAAATGCTAAGAGGTTATAACGACCGTGAAAGAAATGCACCCGAAGAACACTATGAGTGGGTCCGATAACCCGGGTATTTTAAACTGAAAATAGGATATGTTTACAGTGTGCAATAAATGATGCGAACTTAAGAGTGTCCTTCATTAACTTCTCGAGTTACGCTTTCCATTTCCAGACAGTACTTATTCCAGCCCGGTGTAGACACACTTTGGTAGATATATAGTTCGCTAGCTACGTAGCAACTGTGGATAAGTTTGGTTTACAGGGGGACCCCTGCCAGCAAAGTTTGTCTAGTTGACGAGCGTTTTAAAAATCTAACGAGTATTTATTCTTAATATTCATTTCGTAATGATTCTAATAAACGATTTACAAGCGATCTAAATGGGAATTCCTACTCAACTTACTTGCAGCCACACAACGTTCTTCGCACGTCTATAATTAGAAAGTTAACAGTAAGTTACGGCTATGAAGACACATGCTACCGGAGTGAAACGCTTATTAAATTTGTACAGGGGCAAGTTTAGCTGGGCGAGTTTCGAAGCGGGGCTGTTCGATCTGGGCGGGGCAAGGTGGCCGCGCTAGCCAATCAGATCGCTCTCTGCTCTTCTCAAGCAAAGACTAGAGAAGTTGTGAGAGGCACAGCTAGTCTGGAGTAAGTGTGAACCACAATGGATGCGGTACCTTGTGCTCTGGTGTTAATGGTCCTGTTCATGGGAAATGGCATTCAGGA